GTTTTTTTTTTTTGTTTGAAGTTTTGATTATTTATGTCGGTGAATCGTCTTCCGTAAATTAAAGTCCATCCCATTGATTCAAGGAAAATTTGAAAAGTACTGACTAAATCTTTTCTATGTGAAAGAGTTTCATCAATTGATTCTATTTTAGTGCTTTCTGCATGAATTGGAATTAACTGTATCACAATGTGACGATTTGAGAACGATGGCGTCCATTGCCTTGTCCAATCTCAACTCAGTTTTTTCAGTCAGCCTTCAGATCTTTTGAATTTATGTTCAAATATATTGACTACCTAGTCTATTCTGATTTTTTTTTTCTCTCTCAAAAAAAGACGAAAGATCTTAATAAAGGAACTGAGCATTACAAATTGGTTGGGTTTTTCGTTACTACCAACAGTTCTCTCGATGGTGTAGTTGGTTATCACACCCGGCTGTAATGTTCAAGATACCGGTTGGTCGCTAGTTCGAATCTGGCTCGAGAGATATTTTTTGTACTTTTTACTTACGAAGTACTCGTTTAACTTTAATTGTTTTAAAAAGCAAAATGATCTTCTACGGGCTTTTATAAAAGCTACATCTTTCTTCTTGATGCCTTTTTCATGACTCCTTTACCGAATTACATTTAATTAATTTCATTTCATCATGTAATTCCCCCAGGACAGGGAACAATACTTCATAGCAATCAGAGTTAACTATAACTTATTTTACAATAAACTTGAAAAATAAGAAAATCAAAAAGATAGCTAGACAATGAGAAATAACAGTTTTTATAAATAAATTCGTTTTTCAAAGATCTATCAGTGAACCATTGAGGGAATGCAGAGAAAAAAGTGTCTTCTTGATGAAACCGTTACATTGACAGCTCCTATTATCGAAGTCGCAATTAATTTCCATTAAAATAAAAAAAGAGAAAAGAATAAGAAATGATCCTCAGGAAAAAGAGTTACCATACGAAGTGCAAATGTATACTCCTAAGAATGAATAAATCTCTCTTCCAAGGGACAAAATTTATAATAATGCATGACAAGAAATAACTCAGACACTTTGCGTAACCTGCTCAGCAGGAGGTGATTGGTAAACAGCCATACTATACAAAAGGTTAGTGCCATGATTCTACTAATAATTATGAAACCCATAATAAAATTTACATACCCACTGCGTTTACTCTTTTTCAATTCCCGCCTAATGGCAGCCTGATCCAATGGTTTGATAAGTTCGAAAGAGCAAAGAAGCTCAGAATTAACACTCATGACAGCACCCCAATTATCGAATTCTCCACAATAGTTGGGGGCAGAAAAAACCGTACATAACGTCCTCTCATTAAAAAATTCATAACCATCTTCAACTACCATATGCGCACGACAAATTAAATCGAAATCATGCCTTGCCAAAAATTGCCGAATTACATTTTTGTTAAAAACAAACGAAACGCCTCGTTCATTATCTTCCCAATCATTTTCTAGGTCTGCAGGGTCAGACCATAGCAAGTCATTCAATAAACCATAATCAGGAACATCAGTGGGCCGAGTGATCTCCTTAATGTCATCCATAGAACTTAACGCAGGAGACAGGCCTCCATGGACACAAAAAATCTTGCCAGCGACTACGGAAGCAATAGGTAGGCAATTGAAGGTGTTAATAAACGTCTTCCAGATTTTAATATTGCAACGTCGTTTACATTCATCGTAGAATCCGTAAACACGAGTAATATTAGCACATTCATGATTTCCACGAAGGAGAAAGAAATTTTCGGGATATCGAATCTTATATAAAAAAAGGAGTAAAATCGTTTCCAGACTTTGTTTACCACGATCAACGTAGTCACCAAGGAATAAATAGTTAGAGCTCGGAGGAAATCCACACATTTCAAATAATCGAATTAAGTCTGAATACTGTCCATGGACATCACCAACGATTTTAACAGGTGGCATGAGTTCTAGAAAAGTGGGTTGTGAAAGGAAAATCTCCCTCACAGCCGTGCAAATACTAACGATTTCAGCGTTTTTAAGGCAGACACTTTTGCTACTCTTTCGAGAGTACCCGGCATGAATGAGCCGCTGAATCATTTCGTCCACATTTAAACTCACCAATGCATCAGGATCATCTGGGTTCATCGCCGATAAAGCAGAATTCGGTATTACAACCGGGCCCTGTGGATCGTAGTGAAGGTAACCAGGAGTGGGTGCCGATGGGTCCGTAATTGTATCATGATTCGAGTCATAGGACCCAGGAGAAGCCATTGAAGAAGGCGGTGGTGGTGAAAGAGACCGATTGCTTGACATGCCCCTGGGGCTAAGATTACTTGAAGGCGAAGTACCTGTAGGCGATTGAGTAGAGCTCATTCCAGCAGCGGCCAATTCTTCTTGGTCTTGTCGATGTAAGTTGGAGCTCGAACCAGAAGTAGCTAGAATGCCTGGCGATGGCGGAGGAGGAAGACTAGGCGGTGTTTCTGGAAACTTATGGCGGCTGTTGGTGGTATCAGTAGACGTTCTTCGATCATGATTTGAATCTTTATCTTTCCGCAAAGCTGTCTTTAGAGATTTGAAGGATCGAATTGAACCTTGCGTATCTGATCGACTAAAGGAAGGGTAGGAATCCAATCGGTGATCACTATGTTTACTACTCCCTTGTCCCATTGCGTCTCAATCCGTTCGTTTCCTAAAGTAAGTTTTCAATAATTCTTTTTTAAAAACCTTTAATTCACGTTATTTAATTGCTTTCTTGCATTTAGTGCCAAAAAATCCGCTTTTCCTCTTCTCTATATGTCTTCCAATTCTATTTCGTATCTGTTCGACAGCCCTTCAATACTTGTTCACTTCTTGTATATTTTGTACTAAAAATCGTTTCTTTCGTTTGTTTATATCCCGATAAATCTGCGAATTGTATATATTCGTAGGTTTGTGGTAAAAAGCGAGTTTCCATGGAAGGGAATTTGCAGCCAGGTGTTACAGACGCAATCGCATGAGAAAAAAATGGAACCAGCAGAATTCGAACCGGTAATTAGTTTAACGATGTGGAAGCACAGGTCGGAAAACGATATAAGAATATTTGAAAAAATATTGCAAAAACATTCTTGCTAAATAATCAATATAGATAGAAAAGTAACTTCATTTATCAACATTAACAACATAATCTTAACCATCTTGCTCCCATTCCTCACTTGTGCTCCAAGGCTTAGTTTCCTGTGCTTATTCCTTTCTTTTTTTATTCCATTCTGATTTTGATCTATAACACTCGAAATGCTTCTTCTAGATGCAGGTTCTACTTCCATCTTGTCCAAGATTCCCGTGGAAAAACTAGAGACCTCAAGACTGTGGACTTGTGAAGCCCTTGTGCAATTTCCAAACGAAGTATTGCAACACCATAAACAATACCTCCAAGTATGTGATATCATAAGCACTTTTACCTATCAGCTTGATGAATCAATTTACGACGAACAAGTGGAAAAGATCCCTCTCTTAGAAGCTTACTCGCGCAGTATGACTCTTGCGCTGCAAGCTAGACAAGAAACTCATCTACCTAATAAGTATATCGCTCTTACATTAGGTAGCCATGCCGCAACTATCCCGGGTGCCATGGAATACCGCATGGTTTACGATAAACCTGATGACTTTGATATGCTTTACAACTTTCATAAAAACCGTATTGAGCTGTTCCAGGCTTCCAATCCTGAAGCTTTTAAGCAAATCGACTTTTTGGCATTCGAAAGTCTTCCGCATATTACCGAAGCTCTAGCCTTGCTCAAGCTTTTGGCAGATTACAAGAGCTGGAACAAGCGCTGCTGGATTACTTGCACTTGCCCTAGTATAGAAAGTCTTGACCGCGTGAAACAGATTCTCACTGCTTTGTTAGATGCTAATTCTCAATATATTTGGGGTGTTGGCGTTAATTGCTGCCACATCAGTTTACTTCCCACCATCACGAATGCCCTCACTGAACTTTTTAAATCGCATGCTGATAAGACTATCATGCTTTATCCTGACGGCCGTGGTTTCCCTAATCCTTATACTACTTCCCCCAATTCTGAAACGAAGCCTGCTCCATCTCCCCAAGAATGGGCTGAGTCCTCTTTTGAGTACTCTACCCTGAACAGTGGCAACATTGTAATAGGTGGTTGCTGTGAAACTGATATCCGCCATGTTGATCAATTAAGGTCTAGATATAATTAGATTACTCATATTTTGTTTACCATGCCTCCAATTTCTCTCTACTGATTTCTTAAAAGAACCTTTGAATGCAATATGCTTACCAAAACATTTTTATTAAATTCCTAAAACCCTTTTATCCCTAATTTTAATTGTTATAATACATCTATTTCAATTCCTTATATGACTTTAATATTGTCAATACGGAAAAGTCCAAAAATTTTAGAGACCATACAATATGACTGTATTCAAAAATAGTTTATTTTGGTGCTTTCAGTGGTTGAATAACCTTACCACGCTTTGTGACAGTCCTGGGAGCAACAGCCTTGTGATGAGAGGCTCTCGTAGTCCATTCAGGACCCATTGGTAGATTAAGAGCTCTTTCATATTGTTCTCGAGATTCAAATGGAAATGGAACGGCATCAGCAGTAAGCTTAGCTGATTTCTTATTGCGTTTTTCGTTAATAATAACATGCTGTAATTTTGCATCTTTTCGCTTGGAGGGATCCAGCCCTGCGATTTTCTTAACAGCTTTCGGTTTATTCTTCTTCTGCTTGACTCCGGCTCCTGCCCAAGAACCCCAACCGGGTAATGTTTGGTCTTCCTCTTTTGGAGCATCCTCGTTAATCCAATCCTCTTTATCCTTTTCAAATTCCGCAACTACATCGTCTCCCGCAAAAGCCCTAGCAACCAATTCCCTTTGTTGAATAGCCACTCTGCCTTTCGTAGACTTCAATGTAGGTACCTCTTGATCTGACTCTTGGTCTGATTCACTTTGAATTGACGTCTCGTTGAAAATTTTGTCTGGCTGGATTTCAGGGTCATGAGTTAGTTCTTGTAATGATTTTACCTTATCACTGTTCATTCTGTGAGCAAGTTTATCAGCTTTTGAGCTATCCTTATTAACTTCTGCTAAGGTAGATTTCCGTTGACGTGGAGCTTGCAACCATGGATTCTTTGAATCATCTGATACACCAACTTCCACCTCTTTATTATCTTTTTTGTTATTATTCTTCTTTCCTTGTTTGCTGTCTTTCCCAGCATCATTTATTTGTTCTTTTTGGGTGTTGGACAAGAAAGGATTCTTACGTTCCGATCGGATTTCTTTCAATGCTTCCTTTGATGGAACAAATGATCGACGACCTGCATTATCTCCTACTAGAACTCCAGAACTTTCGTCTTCTACCGCATCAGAAGCATTGCCATCAGGTATATTAGCCATTTCGTCTTCAAAGGCTTTCATATCGTTTTCTACTTGGCGAGCTTTTACTTTAGAAGCATCTTGCATAAATTTCATACCCAGAACACCCTTCATTTGTGGCTCTTTCATCTCTCTTACGTTGTCAAAGGCACGTGAAACATCGTCAGGTGTTTTTAAATCGTCATCAGAATAATACTCAGCAGCAACACCGTCAGCATCCGTTTGACCACTAATTCGTTTCGTTAATTCTTCCCCTTTTCTGACTTGCTCCAAAACTGCTTCCCTTGTTCCTTCACCATGATTTGCTCGTTCAAGCATTTTTCGAGTCCAAGCACTACTATTTTTGTGGCGCTGCGTCATTCTTTCTTTAGCACGAGCTTCTTCGGCTCTTAGACGCTCAGTCTCCAAATCCTCTTCCGTCCTTGGCAACAAAGATTGTTCCTTTTCTCTTCGTTTCTTCAAATGTTTGCGATATGCTTTACTTTTAATTTTTGAGACACGTTTAGCTTTCTGTTCCTCTCGGAACATGAGTTCTCTCATAAAACGCAACCGTCGAGTTCTTTCAGCTACTTCTTCAACTGAGAGTTTATTTAAAGCCAATTCTTCCTGCTTTTTCATTGACTCTTCATCTTTAAGGCCAGCGTCAACGAGAGCTGTATCCAGCTTCTTCTCGGTTTTGGTTTCAGGAGTATAACTGGAAGCCAATCCAGTGCTACTTGGTGCAGGACGTACACTCTCGTTCATGGGGAACACAAGCTGATCCGCCTTTCTATTTTCTGAAACAATTGGCTTCCACCTTTCAAGGTCTTCTTTGGATTGTTCATAGGCAGCTTGTCTCTCTAAACGATCATGAATAGGTTTTGCCAATGGAGCATTTAATTTCGACGCTGCTACAGCGGATGACTCACTAACTAAAGGCTTCAAAGAAGATTTCAACCTATTATCAACTTGAACAGATTCCAAAAGATCAGAAAGTCCGATTTTTTCATCATCATTTCCAACCAAATTGAATTCAGATTCACGATTGGATTCAGTAGGATTATGCTTCAAACGTTTTTTCTCAGTGGCTTTTCCTTTATCTTCATCTTCTTCGGAAGACGCTTCAGCCTTTCGCTTATCATTTAAGGAATGGATATAATTCTTCAAGTTATCCAACTTAGCATCATTTTCTTCCTCGTCGCTTGACTCTTCATCTTCAGAGCTGAGGATATCACTTCCTTCTAAATTTTCATCTTCATTTTCCTCCTCTTCTGATTCATCTTCTGAAGAAAAGGAATCATCGCTTTCAATAATTCCATCAGTATGTTGTAAATGATGCTTCTTTAGATTATCTTTGGAATGATTTTCCTCCTCTTCTTCTTCACTAGAGCCTGACTGGTCTAAAACCGCATCTAGGTCGACTAATTCGTTTTCATCAATACTAGCTGCTTCATCATCTTCGTCTTCCGACTGCTCATTCAGATCCTCATTTTCGTCCAAGGAAATTTTCTGTTCCTTTTTGTTTGGAGCCGATTGAATAATTTTTTTCTTAGGAACAGATCCAGCCTAGGTGTTTGTTAGTAACTACACAACAAGATGATTAGAAATTTAAATATACATACCTTAGACGCGCTGAAAGACCAATCAGCAAACTTTTTGTCATCTTCCTCGTCAAATGCTTCGTCACTGTCAATTTCTTCGTCGTCGTCTGAATTCACACCAACATGGTATCCGGAGTCGTTTTCGTCGTCCAATTCATCTTCAATGAATGAATCCTCATCCTTTTCATCGTAGGAGTGCAAAATTTTATTTTCTGAAGCTTTTCTTCTTTTTCTATTGTCAAAAATAGGCTGAGTATTACCCGTTTTCGATTTTCCTCTCCTCGCCATGGTGTTGGTAGTGGAAGAATTTCAACAACTTCTGAATGTAACATAAAGTAGAAACATCAATTCTTTTGTATGACAGTAAATAATAATTTAATTTTAAATATTCATTATGGATAAATAAGTTACTGTAATTGTACTTTTTAGAGTTGCACAAACTACTACCGCCACGGTATAAATATTTATATACCTAAATTTTTCAGGAATTCATAGATCTTTTATAGTAAACAATCTTAGAAGAGTAATCGATTTTATATAATCTAGCCCTGTAAGTAATAATTAGATTTTGTCACAAAGTCAATTTCATCTGCTTGATAAACGAAGGAAAAAATGATAGCTATTATAACGCTCTTCCAAAAAGAAAAAAACTTTTGATATGTACTCATAAACCATCCATCAATAAATGAAGCTATAACAAGATATAACTTTTAAGTTGAAGTTGAAATTCATAATTAAAAATTTTAATCAAATCATATCGTGCATTCGTCGTTGTTGTTCAGCAACTTCAGGCTCTTTTTTATAAAAGCCGTATTCATCCTCCATTAAGAAAGGCCATTCATCCATGTCATAAATTTCACCGCATAAGGATTTCGTAATAAACATAATTCGATCAATCTGATTAACAATTGCATATGCAATCGTACAACCGACAGCAAAATTAAGGTAACTCATATTATTTAACATCTCATAACTTATTCTCGTATGACCTTGAGATTGGGTATCGCTGAAAACGGGAGGCAAGAATACATCGCCGCTTTTAGTAAAAAAGCGGTCTACTAGAGGGGAAGGAACGATTTGAGGTAAAGCATTACCAGTTTGAAGTGCGTTTGAAGACATATAGAGAACGGCCAATTGATCAGCAACAAACTTATGATCAAACCAACCGACTCTTCTTAATAATGCATACATCCATTCTTCATCGAGGGTTGTAAAGGTTGTCATCAATGAATTAAGTAAATCCAACAACGATAACTCGGTTTCACAGAGAGACTGATATTTATCCATAGGCCATTTTCCCACTAGGGAAGGTTCATAGCTTACCATAGGTAATCTCTCTTTCAGAGCTTGAACTGTCTGAGTTAGATTTAATATCTTACTTTGGATTTCTGTGTCAATATGCTCATGATCAACTCTTCGTGAAAAATTTGAAATTTCGCAATGAAGTGCTCCGAGTTCAATAAGGGTATTTCCGATGCTTTTTCGAATAGCATATCTAGCTGTAAGGGGTTTCGGCAAGAAGGAAAAAATAAAAGCCGCCGTAATTCCAGCCATAACGACAAGAAATCTGCGATAAGCAACATCCCAACCGACTCCGAACGTTACAATTCCAGGCTCATGAAAAGCTTTCCAAGAGTAGCTAACAGTAAGAGCAACTGTCACTGAGAAAATAACTGACGGCATTGGGGTCAAAATTATAAGATGAACCCTAACGAACATGACAAAAGGGAGAACAACTGCCAAAACCACAGCTAACCCGTAAGCGTTTCCTAGGCCATGTCCATCACCTGTATACCATATGACCATACCAACAACAGTGCCGAAAAATGTGCCGATAACTCTCATGAGGTATCCATAAACAGTATCAGCAGTATAACGTTGTAAGCTCATCGTAGCCAGAATCACAGCCCATAAACCTCTATTGTAATAATACCAACGAGCACTACTTCTAACAAATGCAGGGATCGTACAAATGACAGCCAGCGCTCCAACTTTTAAAACAAAAATATTCATCGGCCTGAATATAGATTTGAAAAAACGCATTGAATGTAAACCTATGACATGATACAAATTGGATGGACGGTCCGCATCTGGATTTCTGGTTTGTGTGCTCGACTCGTTCATATCCTTCTCTACGTCTTCCACATCATCATGGAAATCATCATGACCAGAAAGTTGAGAGTACAAATTGGCTCGTAAAGTCCTCAAAGGCCACCACAAACGTCGGCGAGGACGTCTTTCTTCCAGATCGATAACTGTATTTAAAATCTGCAAAACGCCCCGAACGGCCTGCATCAAATGAGACTCGTAATAATATACCACGAACAGTGATCTTAAAGAATGCATATAGAAACCTTCTGTATCTGCATTTTGAAATAATGGCTCGTAAGGTTTTCGGACTTCAAAACACTTCTCCTTTTCAAAATCGGAAAGTACCTCGGATAAATGATCATAGTGTAACTTCATAAGCCGAAGACGACCATCACTGGCTTCTTTCTGATTTTTTTTGGAAAAAATACGCTTGAACCGATCGTGATTAACTTCGTTTAGCCAAGCACTTATAGCATCTAAAGCATAAATCGTTTGATCAATTAAATCTGCGGATGATGTCTGTAAAACAGACAGGATTGAGTCAAGAAACTGGGGCCGATTATATGGCAACCTATTCTCCAAAGCTAGGTAATGTTGGGCTTCTAGCATTCCCACCGGTTTATATGACTTTTTGGTTTCTCTGTATAACTTTCCAATTGCTCCTCGCAAACGACTCCGACTTCGGTGACTTTTAGAGCCTGGTGAACTTTGACGACCCCTATGATGACCGGGGATATTACCGGCTGCTATAGTTAAGGCAGAATGCGACCGTTTATGGTGCTGGAGAAAATTACCATCGTTTAAGGAAGTTGACGACAAGTTGTTTGGACCGAAAGATCGAATAGTCCGTAGATTATCATCAACAGGAACATTTAACTGACTTGCTGCTGCATTTCGGCCTCTCTCGTATTCCGTTTGATTTGAAGTTGTACGGTGGTGGGTTGGGGACAAAAACCTATCACTTTCATAAGCAGCCCGATTTGGCGAGGCAGATCGTATAGAAGGCACCGGTGTCCCAGCTCTAGAATGCAAAGTTGCTTTTTCAGCTTGCATCATAGTTTCTTCGTCATAAATTTGCATATTGTGATCAATAAGTTTGCAGAAATAAGAAAAAGAAGATAAACGAAGAATAGTTTTCCTAAAAAGTCTTTGCAAAGATACCAAGTCCTCACCCTTCAAACGACCATAAGAAAATTCAGTATCCAAAAAAACCTCATTCGACTTCATTTTCGTTAATAAAGTTTTCAAATCAGCATTATCCTTTTCTAAAGTAGAAGCGAAAAACTTCCAGCCTTCGGAAGTAGGAGAATGTGACAACATTTCCACCTGCTTTTGCATAAATTTTCTCGTATTTTCTGTAACAGTACACAACATACTATTGTACGAAAAATTGCATGTTTCGGGAATTATAAAGAGTGTGCAACCGACAGTAATGGCGGTTTGAATTGCATTGGGGATAATAAAAAATAGACCAACACGAGGATAAAAGTAGGGGTACATTGGTCCATAATTTGCACTAACTGCAGCACAAATGATTGCAAAGACGCAAGGGAAGTTTAAAGGTTTATACTTCATTTTGATGCGAATAAAAACGGCAACAGCGGAAAACTCGAAAAGAGCCCATATAATTGATGGCAAGGGACGGACGAAATAACCCTGGAAAATTGCTTCAGTCAAACATCCCTGCATTCCTTGGCTAGGGTTACTACAGTGAAATCCATCCGCAATGGCATTCTGTAAACATTGTTCCTTCGAAGGGGAGCCACGAGACACAGCAGCAAGTTTGGATGCCAACACAGTCCAAGCGTAAGAACTAAATAGCAGTAAAAATTGGAAGGCGCACTTCCATAACATAGGAGCTATCGGTTCCATAGCAGGTACCAGCATGGAAGTAATTACAGCAAAGAAACTAGCCATACCTAAAACCCGGTTGGTATGGTTGCATATGAGAAGAAGAAAGGCTATCCAAGTGTTCAGAGATGCTCGAATTACAGGCTTTATCCCCTTTCTATTTAGGTTTTTGGAAATCCATTGCATATACGAAGGGACCTTCCAGGTGGAAGGGTGTTTGCAACGGCGCCAAAATTGTTTTAAACGCTTTTTAGACAATGTTGGTGATTGTTTTGGAAGATCTGGGGAAGTTTCTTTTTCTGACTGTAATACTCCATGTCCAGATACAGACTGAGGATGAAGTGGGCGAGAAGAATTAGAGGAAGAAGACCGGTCGCGAGAGTATTCGGAAGGCCGCTGAACAAATGGTTCACGAAAAGACAATTTTTGTTCCTGTTGCGGGTTTGAGGGCGGTTTGGGGAATACAAAACGAGCATGTTTTGGAGAATCAGGAGACTGCAAGTGAGAAGATGAAGGAAGATTAAAAGAAGAATGGATAGAAGTCCTAAAAGAATTGAAGGATGAACCTTGAGACTCGTGATCATGATCATGACCTTCGGAAGTGTTCGACTTGGAGGAACTCCGAGATGACCGGGAGGATGGATTATACTGCGAGAGGATACTGGGGGAGGATTTTGAGTGTCGAATAGGAGTAGAAGGATCATGGGGATGACTTGAATGTTGAGAATGTCTAGAATCACGAGCAGGCGCTTGGTAAGCGGTGGAAAGGTTGGAGTAAGATTTAGATGGAGGAGGAGGAGGAGGAGGAGGAGGAACGTGAGGGAGGGTGGCATGAGAGAGAGGAGAACGTACAAATGGTTCATAACGAGCCGGAGAAGGTTCACTAGACAACTGTATTTTGGGGATAGGAGTAGAGGGACGGGGATGAGGGGAATCTATGTAAAAAGAGGCTTTTGAATTTCGCATGGGATTGATTAAAGAGAAATAAGACGCATACAGAACGAAAAATGAAAAGAAAAGAAGTTGAGAAGGGAACAAGAGCAAAATTTGGGAACACAAACGAGGTAATAAAAACCGTCAAGAAGTTTGAAGGATTAAAAATACCAAGGAACCGTTTCAAAAAGAAGGTAGAAAGAAGTTTTTTCAAGAAACCAAGACTTGTAGATTTATGCAATCAAACAACGAAAAGTATTTTAACAAAAAAAGCACTATGAAAAACAAAAATTTGTGTAAAGGGATACATTCCTTTTATCTGTTTTGGAGAAGAATTTACCCAGCGTGAGATACGAATGAGGCGATTGTAAACAAACAAACAGAGTGAGGATTTGTTTGGTTTTATTGAGCAGCTTACCAACAAGCAATTGAATATACGATGAATCAAGAACAACAATTTGGCAACATAAAGTAAACAAAAAGAGTAAACGAACAAGAAAAGAAAAAGAAAAAAAAAAAAGAGAATCGTAAAAAGTGTAGATTGATGTCGTAGTGGGGTAAAAGGAATGGACGTATGTTTATACACAACGTGAGCGGCAGCGTGCGTATAGAGGGGAGCAGTAAGTAGAGATGAAGGCGGATCTGACAAATCAAATATATAAGAGAAAAGAGTAAAATATTATATAAGCGAGGCAGTGAATCCAAGACGAAAAGGACTGAGAAACGAAAGGTTCTGCTGAGATAAATCGAAAAAGAAAAGAATCTTTTTAGAAGCTCCTCTAAGAGCCGAATATGAAGAAAAAAATTGAACAGATAGGCGAACGAAAGTATTATACTGGTTTGTGCAAATCAATATGATTAATATCATACAAAGGAGGAGGATTCCATGGTATAAGAAAAGAGTGTGTGTGTGGGAGATGCCATGTTAGGTTTCATAAAAAAAAAAGAATCTATTTTATTCAATGAATGGGAAAAATAGGATGAAAAGAAATATGGGTAAGAAGTGAGAGGGCGGCGATGTCCGTACAATTACTATGAGAAAAGGTATATATGGGGAAAAGAACAAACACTAGGTATCAACAGAAACAGAAAATAATTGTAATAATAAAAAACAAAAGCTCGTATCATGAATAGGTCATCCAAGACCCATGGGTGAAATCATCCTATGGTTGAGAGGAACACTATTCTTTTTCTTGGCAGAGACAATCCTCACTCGAGAAATCCATTCCTAGAAAAGAGAGAAAAAAGTAATCATATCAATCGACGAATGAATCAACAGCGAAGGTAAGACAACTGTTGTAGCAGCCATTTCCTTTCCATACATTGAGATTTAATATATGATTATTATTATTAATAACACTTCTATTTCTATATTACTTGATAAATACTGTTGTTTCTATTTTAGGAAATCATGTGTTGGATGAATCATGTCAGTCGAAATGGAAACAAGAATCCACGACCGAAAGAAACAATTTAAACGAATGCATGTTGGACACACTACGAACAATCCATCCCTATTGTGGGTTGAAAAAGCAATCGACCCAAAAGTGTCTTCTAGTATTGGCAAAGATGGGTGTTGTTTCATATCTCTAATTTTCACAAGATACACATTGTTATATTCGTTTTTCATTTTCTTTGTTGTTTCATTTTCTGTTTTTATCACGTAAAGAAACGAGTTCGTTCGATTCAGTTCTGTGATGAAAAAAATTTGTATCGGATCGTCTGTCATGCGATTTTCTTGAAGCTAAATTTCTTTTTATTTTTATTGTAAAATTTCGTTTCATTGTTTTATTTACTTTTTTTTTCTTTTTCTTTTTCTTTTTTCTTATTTCTTTTTTTTTTTTTTTTTATTTTTTCCTGTCATAGTCGTTCGTTAGTAGTAGTTACTTCGTCGTTTCCTTTTACCTTAGCTACTATACGTAAGTAG